CATATATATTGTATGTTAATTAAAAAAAAGAGTCGTAATATGTTTCAGTTTAAGTTAAGGAACAAGCAAATTGCATAACTTTTTTGAATACCACATATAAAGGAACCGAATGATGCGTTAAAGTTTATATAAACCAGGTTGCTCTTAATCGTATTCCACTGTCTTATTCCGATAATTGAAAACGTATATTTGTCATTTGCTGAGCAAAATTGTATTTTTTGGTTTCAATAATTTCACCTAATTAAAAGGATATTGAACGGCAAAGCTATGTCAAATATGTCTCAGTAAAGTAATCGTATAATACTCGTGTTTCAATCACAAGTAACTTCCTTAACTTCTTTTCAATCAATCATTCAGTACAATGATCAAAAAAAGAATTTGAACGATTTAAACACTGTTCCCCAGCAATCAGGAGCTGCGACTTTCTGCTCAACACTTTGTAGTCACGGATATTTGTGTTGTGTGTGCCCTTTTGTACGTGTCATTTGAGTGTAGTTTTTTGCAGTGCTCTGACTATGGCTTTGGCTCTGGCTTTGGCCATAATGCAAGTTGATTTTTATGGGCAAGCCGTTGATCTTGCACTCGGCGAAGCAGAAAACGCAAAACACAGATACAGGGCGAAAACTTTTTTAGCTGCCGACGATTAGGGTCAGCCCGAGCACATGTTGCCGGGATGGCGCTGGCGATGGGGCAACTGGAAGTGGCACGAATGTGCCGTGCCGGCTTTGCAAATTGTTAAAAATAGATTTTGTACAGCATATTTTCGTTCGGGCACGTCTCGAGTGAAACTGCAGCTCCAGCTCCATCTCCAGCTTCAGCATCGGCTGCTCTTGTCGTGCAATGAAACGTTTTAATGCCATTTGTAAGTGGAACGGAAAAACGCTGCCTGGCTTCTTGCCCTGCTGTTGCTGTTGCTGCTGCAAATGGACAGACAGCTCGACAGTCAGCCAGCCAGCCAGTCGGGCGACACTTGCGCTAAAATGGAAAGTTTGCATAAAAAGTAAATAGCAGCAACGGCGGCAAAAAGGTAACTGAACATAAACGAAAGCAAAAGCCAATGCAATGGAATGCAATCCAAAAAAAGAAACAAGCAAAAAAAAAAAAATGTTGTGGAGTGAAGGAAAGCACAGCAAGTTGCTGGCAGCTGCTAAATCAGGTCAGGGATTTAGGCAACGACGATGATGGTTGCAGTGTCATTTGTTTTTATATACACTGTAGATGCCACGGGTATGTTGGCTCGGTGCAAACATACAGAAGAAGTTGTCGTTTGAAACAGAAGAGTATCTATGCAAAATGTAATTATAAAATAGAACTTAGTCTTAGAAGGATACAAATTACCGAGACTAAAAATTATACGCGAAAATATCTGCTATTTCATAAAAATATAAACCGATTTGGTAATGAAAGTATAATTTGTCATAACATGTATTTTTACATTCTTTCCTTTAAGTTTTTACTTATTAAGTTTTTTATTTTCGTAAATATCGCTCTTAGTTCACAAAGAAAAACAATTTTATCAATGTAAAAAGTTTTTACATATTTATTTCAACTAGTTTTGATTTTAATATGAAAGCTAAATTGAATTGTTTGCAGAACATGCTCAAAAAATGTTGTTGGTGGAAAATAATCTCCCATCCGAGAGTCTAAGCCTTTTCTCACCTTGCGGGTATGCAACGAATTTCGTTACGGACGAATTAATATTGCGTAACTATCAATGGTCTAAAAAGTAGCACCATTTGTAAGATAAAAAGAACACCAATGCGAGTATTTGTGTTTTCCAGCGGAATAAGAACTTACAAAACAATAAGAACTAAAAAAAAAAATCAGTGTATTTTCATATACAAGTATGTAGTCAACAAACACAGCATTGTAAGTTTGCGTTGAATTTAAATTGATTATCTCTGCTATGTAATAAATTCCTATCCGGTAACATTTGTTTTTATCGACTTTGATCAATTTTTCGATTGTGAAAATTTGTTTTTTCCAAATTTGAATTTTATTACCTTTTTTTGCAAGGGAAAGATTCCTCATAAGTACAATTGAACTGAATCGAATTTGGCAAATACGATCACTTTGTGAAAACCGAAAACCCCGTTTTGTGGAGTGACAAACTTCACCCAAATAGGTTCAAGAACATGTCTGTTGGGATATTAGAAGCTAGATATTAAAAACTATTGTATTACTAAGTACTTATACAGTGTATAGCAGAGATTGTTAGATTAGAACGTTATTTGCTATTCTTTGTTAGGCATGCCGTCTGTAAATATGCAAGACACAAAAAGAAAAAAAAGAACATATACGAGTATATTGTAAATTAAAGCGTTTTGTGCTTGTGCGATTGCTCTTGCGCTTTGAATTTGCAAGTTGTCAGCATTAATTAAATTACTAAGAGACGGGTAACAAATTGAACTGAAAATGCGCCACAAAAAGACACTCAAACCCGAAGAGATGTACGTATGTATGTATGTATGTATGTGTATAGTATATGCAAATAGTGAATGAATGCGGCACATTTTGTATTTGTCGACGTGTTTGTGTGTCAGTGGAGCAGCTGCAGAGTCGCAGGTCGCTAGTTGCTGTTGCGGACCGCAAGTTGCAGTTTTAATTGCGCACACGTGCGTGCTGACAGCGATGCAGAGAGAAGAGCAGCAGAGCAGCGGAGCAGCAGAGTATAGCACAAAAGCGCCCAAAGGCAGCTCAAGTGGCAGTGTTGAAAATAAAGGGGGCAGGATGAAAGGCGGGCTGTGGTTGCCACTACTTGAACTCATTGGGTGCAGAAATTATGGGACGCTCAAGTTGATTTTGTGAGGCAGGCAGTCAGACACAATTCCAAAGCAGTCATACACATTCTTACGCATCCTTGAAGCCCAGAACGTGACGCAAAAGTTTGCGTCTTGAACAAAAGTTGTATGCTCTGTGGCCACCTGCTACCTGCAACCTGCTCCTCACTTCTTGCTCCTTGCCACATGGGTATATTTCGCCCACTCGCTTTGGCATGCCCGCAGCTGTTGCCATCAATATTGTGCTGTTGTCGATTTGACGCCGATCCCAAGAAAAACAAAAACAGCTACAACAACAACAAGAGCAGCGCAAAAAACTGTTAAGTAGCTGCCTATTGCCAACGCACACCTGTCCGAAGTGTGCGCGATAAATTTTGAACTATAATGCGCACTTCAGTGGGCGTAAGAACTCAGACCCATTTGGTTCAAGGCTTGTCGCCATTGTTCTGGCAATGCGTACATTTGTGTTGCAATTGCTAAAAGTTTACAATGTGAAATTTACAAAACTCTTATCGAAACCGCCTGACCCTAATTGTTATACAAATACAAATGCGTTACTCAGTATGCTGAGCTTCTTATAAGTACTATATTACAAACATGCTACAAATATTAGCCCTGTAACGAATTCTGCAGAGTTTTGCGTTTAACGCATTATTTTGTACGTCTAATACTATATTTTTGCATGAAAGGTATTGTTCACTTTCGATAGATTCCTCACGATCATTATTTGTTCTCATTTTCTTCTTAATATCAAGTTACATAAAATAAAACGTATTTTCTACATTTTATATACATAAACAATGCTAAGCATGTAGTTATTTTTGTTTTGCCATCTAGTCCCAAAGTTCAGTTGCTCTTAGCTCCGATTATAGTCATGACTAAAAAATTTTAATATTTATATGTATACTTTCTTATGAAATGATTTGAAACAAAAAATATATATGTATATACGATAAGCAAACATTATCTCAAGCATTTCTTAGCAACTGCTGACTGTTTGATAGACTTGTATATGTGTGATGTTCTTCCTTATAAGCTAGTGGGTGGTGTTATTTCTTCTCTCCACAAGCAGCCTTTTATGTAGTTATTATTTTAAGTAGGATATTTTTTTATACCCAAATATATGGTTGTGCTCTTTTCTGCAAAACTACAAGTATGTGTGACTTAATCTTAGAAAAAACGGTTTGAAGCTCCAAATCGTCAGAGTATTTCATAAAATTTCGTTTTAAAACCTTAATAGTATTACTTGAAAAACGGGGTCTTTAAATGGGAATTTCATTATAAAAATGTTTCTTTTTTCGCAATTCTCTAATGCGTATATTTGCTTCATTTATTCAAAAATGCATGACTTAAGTATATTCCACAAACCAATTTGGTTCATTTGCCTTTTTAACTAGGCTTTTAGATAAAACCAAATAAAGTTGGGCTCAAAATAGATTTCGGAAACTATAAACAATTGTAAAAGGAAAAATGAGAAAATATTCTACCGATTTATGAATTATGTACGAACAGATCGTCACTTACTTATTTGCCTCTATGAGGCTACTCCCTTATGGTATATTTAATGTTCTCCTATCACTGAATCTGCGACCACTGTGGCTAAAACCATTGGGGCTTGAAGTAAGGCATTGTATGCTAACAGGCTGACAGGAAAACTGACAAACAAAATCCGACTACGTTTTGATGCGGCCGCATCGCTCCCAACTCGCACTCCTTGGCTCCATCTCCTGCCACCGCCTTCAGTCCCCGCCTGCTGTGCTCCGCTGGCATCAGAAGCTACTTGTCTGAATTTTGAGCAACGTTTGCTTTTATGCGCATACCAAGCACATTTTGCAGCTATTGTTGCTGATATTGTTGTTATAGCTGCTACTGTTCACGTTATTGTTGCTCTGGCTGCTGTCAAGTATTTAAGTTTAATGCGCTTAGTTGTTACTTTTGGCGTTGCTATTGGTGGTGTTGTTGTTGTTGTTGTGTACTGATGTGTGCGTTTGTTCATTTGTAACGCTTAGGAAAATTGAATTACAATGCTTGGTAAATTTACCAAAAACGTTGTAGGCTAATTGAATTGTTTCCAAAATTTCTAGCATACACACCCCTATGGGGCTAAATATTGCGTAGACGACGCGTCTGTTACAGCACTGTCTGTGCCTGATTGTAGGCGCATTCGAGTTGTAATTTAATTATAATTAATTCGATATACAAGTGCAATTCACTACTTACTCATTTTGTCATGTAGCACTGGCTGCGTGAGTGGCTTCCGATTTGAATCGAGTTGATCACGAACTGATACGCCTAGTTGGGCATATTGCTTTGCGTCGATATTGGCAGTAAACACATGAATCTAGTTTGTTGTCGAGCTGGCCTGGCGTTGTGTGGCCGTTCAATACAATTTACCACTTGAGTGGACACAGTTCTATGTTTTGCGAGCCGGAAGAACTGTCGGGTTGCCTGTCGTATCGAGTTTCATGTGAGTTCAATGCACGCTAATTAAACGCAAAATTTTTGTCATTTATAATCAGTGACAACACAAACAAGCAAACACACGCACGATCACGCACAAACACACACGTATGCTGACATCTATCGTTATTTTTACACATTTATTCCATTTATTTTTGACCATTTATTTAGCAAGCGGCTAAATATTGGCCTGCTTGCCAACATGCCTGTTGTTATTTATGATTTTTATTGCGTTTTAAATATGCATATTTAATTTGTTGAAATAAACACTATAAAAATACGGTAATAATGAAAATGTCGCAATTTTATATTATTTTCATACACAATAAGGTTTTTTGACTACTTGCTCGAACTATAATATGCAAATAATTGTGTGTCGCTCGATTGGCTGTATTTTATGTTTTATTTTGTTGACGTTATGCCTGCCTTTTGCAATACATGTACTATGAGGCTTTGTGTTTAGGAATTTGCCTTTATTCTAATTCAATGGCATTAAATGCATATCAAAATATACCTATTGATTCAAATTGTATGTACATTTTCAGCCTAATAAACATTTACGCATTGCTTATTTCAACAACCCATTCAAAGGAATGATGTTCTCCCTGTGTTTGCAGATATTCATTTGCACTTTAGCCTTACTTGAATCGATTTCATTATAAACGTAACGCAAATAGTTTCTTTTGAATTTTTATTCGAACGGGTGGCAATCAGCCAATGCTGTGAGGAAATTAAATGACAGCGGAAACAAAGTTAATGTTTTAAGTTTTTATAATGACTTTCACCACTTTTTACAATAGTTATGCATATATTTATGAACCATGAACCAGAACCATTTGAAGCTACTGATTTTGCTGCCAACCACACAAAGGATTTTGTTTTTTGTAATGAAATTTATACGCATTTTTGCTTGCATGGCTTGTTTCTTTTGAAATATATGTTGCAATATAAATATTAAAAATACTATGAAAAAAATATGGATTTCGCCAGAGACGCAACAATGTTGCAGTATACATAAATAAAGGTTTTTTAATAAGCAGTTTTATTTATTTACTGCCTACTTGCCCACATTAATTAAACATGTGAGTACCAAAATGTTAATAAATATTTTTTAATTAAAAGCCATGCATATCGGCTTACAAACAATTTCATTGTGCTGTTATTAATTCAAAAAATGTAGCATAAATTAATTGATTTTTTAATTATGCATTAAACTGTCCGGCACACATACTTGGCACACACACACACTCATATGCCAGCATATTAGGTCGCTTCAGTGGCCATTTTATAATTTGCCAGAGCATACAAACTATTTCCGACCAGAGCAATGTAAAATAATTAAAATGGCAAAAGCCTTAGGAACAGGAACCTTTTTGTGAATGACCCCGAACAGTGGAAGAGCCAAAAGGATGGAAAGAGTGGAGCGTGGGGGGGTCTTTAAAGCATATAAAGCGCAATACAATAAATAAAATAGCTGTGCGAAAGGGCTGCAACAAAGTTTTGAGCGTTGTCCCAAAGCAAGATTTATGAGCTGAGCAAAAGGGCGGGTACGGTTACGGGTGTGGGTGCCTTTGGCATTGGCATTGCTCGTTATGTGCTCAACATGATTGGCCAAGGTCTTGCGTTTATTTATTTTGCTTGCGGAGCGCTAAACTCAGAAACAAAGGTACAGATATACACACACCGATACAAGGCCACTCACTTGCCAGAGCCCTTTATTTCAAGAATTTTTGTTATTTATTTTTTCTTAAATATTTTTTGGGGCACACGCATTTAAATGATTATGCTTCGCGTTTGCTTTTGAGGCAATTTGGTTAATGGCCTGTACACTCTCATCGTCTTTCCCAGCATCAGCCCCAAACCTTAGCCTCAACTTCATCTTCCTTATCTTGGTTTTATTTGCTTTGGTGGCGTGCGAAAGTTTTTGCGGCCGAGAAAGGGTTGTCGAAACGCCTTGAACGTCTTGTGAACAACAGAGGCTCGCATTCAAGTAAACCTACAGATTGCAAAGTGGACGTGTTAAGCACGATTTTCGTGGAGTCAGCTGCGATAGTGTGGCAGACCAGACACTTAATTTATAGATATGTACGAGTGTGTAAGGGCATAAACCTATCACCAGAAATTAAAGGAAAAACTCTGACTGCATTACATTATTTTATTTTTATGTAGACATTTTTTTTGCATTGTTTCTCGCTTACAAATTAAAGCAGGATTTAAAAGTAATGTGCTATTGTTAAAGTTTGTTCAAATATGGAAATTATTCTTTGGAAGTAGCTTCGTAATTCTCGACTGTAATATTAAGGTATTGGCTTTTTATTAAGAAATTGGCTTTTCTGAAGAAAGTTAAATTATAAATTTTTAAATTAATAAGGAAAGCGGTAAATAGGTTTAGCATTCAAAAGCATTCTTCTGAATAAATAAAAAGCAGACTTTCTGAAGAAAGTAAATCATTCACCAAAGCGCAAGGAAGAAAAATTGTCGTAGAATAAAAATAAATATGCATATTTATTTCGTCTATAAACGTTATTTCTTGTTTTAAAATAGTTGCCATTTTTGCATGACACTTGTATTATATTTCATATTATTTAATAAAACATATATTAAATGGGGTAACTATTTTTAAGATAATTGTAGTGCATATTTATATTGACTGAAAAGTAAAATTTTTCCTTAAAAACCCCCATACTGTGTGGATAATCAGAAATAATAAAAAAAAAAAATATTTATTTGAAAGAAAAAACACTTTTTTTACATTTTCTCGTTTTGGGCCATCTCAGTAGCTATATGATATTTTGGTATGAGAAACGCTTTCGACATTTTTTCTAAATATTTTGGCCTTTTTTGTTCTCCTTTTATTAACCTAGTACAAATATTTAGAATTTTTCGTTGCAAAGAGTTAAAACCAGCAATGCCAGATATAAAAGTCATTTGAATAACGCCAACAAAGAACAAGTAAAAAAGCTAAAGTCGGGTGTCCCGACTTTGAAATACTCTGTACATATGTTTACAATAATTATAGAAAAGAAAAAAAATTAAGAAAATAAAAAAAAATTTGATCGATTTTACCTCTCTCGGTATTCGAACTCACGTAAAGGGTTTATAATTGCACATTTACATAGCAATTGCGTCTGTGTGAGTGTATGTATGCCTATGCGCATCTATTCGTGTCTGTGTAAGAATTTTCGCAGTCAACCAAACAGCAACATCAACAACAGCCGCGGGCAGCGCTTGAGCAGCGCTGCAGCAACGCTGCATCAGCAAATATATTTATGGCTATAACTTCTCGTTAAATCGGTCTATCATAGTGAAACTTGGTAAACGGACATATAATAACCAACTGGGGGTATTTCCAAAATTTTAGTTCAAAATTCCAAGAATAACGGGAGTTACGATTTGCGGGGTAGAGGGGGGAGGGAGGGAAATTCCAAAATATACATTTTCTGCGTATTCACATAAGGCATCTGGGACTAAAATTTGGTGACCATAGGTCTTATAGTCTCCGAGATATAGGTGATAATACGAATGGAAAATCGGGAAAACCCCCATAGGGGGGAAGTGAGGGGGAAAATCAAAAAAATAAAACAAACTCGTATAGAATACACACATAACGCATCTTTGTGCAAAATTTGGTGTCTCTATCTCTTATGGTCTCTGAGATCCAGGTGTTCATACGGACGGACAGACGGACAGACTGACAGACGGACAGACGGACAGACAGACAGACAGGGCTAGATCAACTCGTCTCGTCATGCTGATCAAGAATATATATACTTTGTGGGGTCTGCCACGCCTCCTTCTGCCTGTTACATTTTTCAGCTCCCGCAAACCTAATATACTTCTGTACATTTCATGTACAGAGTATAAAAAGAAGAATTTAAGGCAGCTAAAATTTTAGCACATGTGATGTGGTTATTTTTGTTGTAGCTGCTGTTCTTTGCGCCTGCAGCACTGGTATGCGTGTGTATGTCTGCATATGTACTCGTATATATGTGGCCCACTAGTTCAAGGACTTGCGCCGAGCATGCCAACAAAAGGCAACCCAATTACGCAAACCAAAACCAAAAAAAAAGCAGAAAAAAAGTGAAAAGCAAACACTGACGTTGGGCAACCTTTAACCCTAAAATGCGACCTAGAAAAGCGCTGCCTGCCGTTTATGACTTTTCAAAGTCGAAGTGCAAAGCATTTTTGTTGAGCCACAGAAGATAAACATGGCAAATATGCCAATGCCAGGCGTGGGAAAGCGGCAGAGACGGACAGACGCGCCTGCCAGCATGCCAGTGTGCCTGTATAGTATACATGCGGTTGACTTTCACTCGCAGCTCACGGCGCGGTCTCGCTGACTGACTGACTGACTGACTGACGGACTGGCAGTGCGACATAACCACCAGCTATTACAACACGATTTGCAGCACCCAACAACAAAATGGAGGCAAAGATGGAAGACAGTCAGCCAGTCAGGCATTCGCTTTCTGCTGACGTCGACGGTGGCAGAGCCAGCGCCTAGTATTTATACAAACGTTCAAGGACATGCGTTGCATGGCATGTTGTGCATGTGCATGGCCTGCATTGGTATATGTATGCCAGGCTACAAGACTGCCAAAGTTGCAGCAACGCTTGCGCCTGCAAGTTATGCAACACATTTTTGCATCCGAATTACACACACCAACAAGCTTATGATTTAATCTGTTGTCTTTTTAATCCATGTCCATGGCGTTAACTAATTACACATATATCCTCCCAAACATACAAACAAATACACAAACACACACACACACACACAGATATGTTCACAGATTAATGACGTCAAAAAAAACGTGTACAATTTCCATCACAGCGCTCGTTTTTGCTGATTTTCTCTCTTTTGCTCAATTTCGTGCGTACGTGCGTGTATGCGTGTAATTGCGTGCATGGGTGTGTGTGTGTGTGTGTGTCTGCTTTCGCTGTTTTCACTTTCACTTTCATTGATTTTTAAATGCTGGGCCAAACACACACACACCCGCACAGTTTACAGACGAGTGTTCCAAAAATCTTAGGTTGCCTTTCTTTTACGAGTACGTAGAAATTTACCATAAATTTTGCACTTTTTCGTACGCCGTTTGTTTTTATTTCAACAATTTTTGTTTGCACTCACACATGTACACTGCTAGCTGCTGCTGTTGTTGTTGTTGACCGTCAAACGTGCGCGCACTTGCCGTTTTGCCTTCGTCACAAAAATCTATTTTGTGGCTCACAATTTCGCACGTCGAACTGCGCTCGCTGCCAAAACTAAACTGTGTCTCGTGGCCTCTAGCCCATGGTGCTGTAGCTTCAGTTGGCCAAGTAGCAGAAACGACAACAGCAGCAGCAGCAGCAGAAGCAGAAGCAGCAGCTATGCCAGCAGCATAAAATACTGGTAACAGTCATTGGCAAGCCAACGTCAGGCGACGCATGCGCCTTGAGTTGCTCTTCATTTCGGCCACACTGTTGCGTTGGCTCTCTCCCAATGTGGCTGACGTTGGCCATGGCTTTGTTTACATATTTTTTTCCTATTTGCTGTTGTTGTTACTATTGCTCGCTCTGTCCTGATGCTGTGTGGTTCATTTTTAGGCGCACTGAAGGGATTTTTTTCTTTTGGTTTTATGTGGAAATTTGCAAACGCTTGCGCTATAAATAAAATTACGCATACGCCACGTGCGCCCATTGGGAATTTCTTCAACACTGGCCAGCCTATTATGTTGTTGTATTTCTTTTTCTGTGTGTGCCTGTGCATTGCTGCCTCCTCTTGGGCAAATTTATGATTAATGAGTGACCAAAAGTGTTAGATTGCCGGTTGTTTGATACGAAATAGGAAGGGGGATGGTTTCAGGCTTTTCATTTCAGGCTTAAACAGATTGAATCAAACATGCACAACTTTTTGTTCATTTGGGCTAGAAATACAGAAAATGTACTTAATAATGTATTTGGAAATGATTTTCCTGATTTATTCTTAATTTACGGCTCACTTGGGCATAATATCATAAAGCTAATGGCGTAATCAAAGCGTTTTAATATAATTCATAATAAACATTGAACAAAACCATGCAAACCATTCCACATTAATGCTTTTGCTTTATTTTATTATATTATGTAATATATGATTGACACTAGAATTTTTTTCAAGAAATTCTCTGTCTATTTTCTTTAATTCTCATTAAGTTAAAGAGAAAATACTTAAATTTATTTAAATATTACTGTTTTAAAAATGTTTTAAGCAAACATAAATGTTCAATAAGATCGAGAAATGGGGTCGGGCATAGCTCAACCAGCTAGTAGGAATTCCGGTTCGAATCACGCCGCAACTATCATGGCTGAAGCATGACTGAAATTTCAAAATTGAAATGCTAGTATCATATAAAAGACATCGGCTTTGGCATTTTCTTCGTACGTGGATGGCCAAATAATTTTTTTCCCTGAATGGAGGCAAGTAAACTAAATTAAAAAGTAAAAATATAGATCACGAAATGTTATTTATTTAACTTATAATACAAATTATTATTTCAAGAACAAGAATAGGAACTAAATCTCAATACCAATTTGAATATGGCCAAGTGTTTTTTTTATTTATTTGGAAGATACTATATACTTGCCCATCTAGATATGTTTTGTCGCGCAATAAATAAACTATTTTCTTAAAAATGTTCTTTACAACGCGCTATTGTCTAGTCTCTTTAAACGGAGAAAAACTAAAGAAGCATTGTAAATAAGACATCAGTTCAGATATAAAAAGGAAAGTATCCAATTGTATTTGTGACAAATAAAAAACGAATGCATGTAGCGTCATATCTACAAACACACTTACATATATAGTATAGTATGTACATGTCTGTACCCCAGTGTGTGGTTATAAGAGCTGGGACCATTATAAATGGACGCCTTGTTCATGCCAAGTTCACACACAACAATTTTCACGCTGATTGGTTTCGAGACATTTTTCTGTACTTGGCCTTTCTTTTCATTTATTTTGAGCGCAGTTCTTATTGTTGGTATTTTCGTTTTTATTTATAGCAAATAGAGAGCCAACAAGCCAAAGGAAAAGCTAAATGTCACTGGCCAATTCAACGTTTGAGAATTTTTGGAATTTAATAATGAAATAGTCGCCGCAGGGCTATCGGAAAGTCAATAGCCAGTAGCCAAACGCTTCACTTATAACTCTAAATGCTATCGACGAAGGAATTTTCTGGTTGTAAGCTTCTCTTTGGGCGTCCAAATGTTTGATAAATTTTTGCCTGGCCTTCGAAACTTTTGAATTGAAAAGTTGTGTTTAATGTGCAATAGAGAGAAAAAATGAAAATAGTTTTACTTGCTAAATACTTTAGATACATTTTTAATAACTAATTAAAAGTTATGGTGTGTGGCAGGCAAAACGAAATTTAATTTAATGAAAACTTTGCAATCGATTAAACAGCCAGCCATGAACACAGAATAAGTGGCAACTAATTATGGCCATCACGCGTAAATAATAATAGATTACGATAGCAGAGGAGAAAAAGTAGTCTAGTATGTTGCAGGAATGCTTGAAAGAAGAAGTTAGCCAATTGCCGCATTATTTGCCACAATCCGTCGTCTGCGAGGGTGGCACGATATGATGGCAGGATGTCTAAGCCAAAGGGATGCGCGCGCTCATTCAAGCGTCTGCGATTTTTATCAATGAACGGTGGCCAAGCAAACTGTCTGCCTGTATGTGTGTATGTTTGTATGTATATAGTATACTTGTTTGCTCGTGTGTTCTTCTGTGGTTGTGTGTGCTTTTGAGTTGTGCGTGGGTTGCGATTTACTCGCGTCCCTTGTTGCTGTGTTGTTGCGGGCGGCAGCTGATTTGATAACTTTTTCATTGAGGCAAAGTGCGTGCGAATGAACATGACAACAACAACAAAAATAATAGACAAAACAACAACAACAGCTCCAATAACATCAGTAACAATAATATAACAAATTCGCCCAAAGGGAGCATCAACTGAGCATCCACGAGTAGCATTTAATTAAAGTCACTCACTGCTCGAGTTTGAAAGCTGTTCAACTTTTTATGACATTGCCTTTCCAATAAGCAGCAACTTGACTGGCTTTAGCACAATGGTCTAAATTAAATATGTTATTGGCAAAAATTCATAGCTGAATCAAAGCCTAAAATTATAGAGAACATAAAATAAACTAACAAGCCGTAACATAAATCAATTCCGTATTGATATATATATTTATCAACTTATATTGCAGTCTTAAGCAGAAATTAAATTCACGTATTTATACAACTTATATAGCATAATTTTATTAGCACATCTGATTTTTTTTTTAGCAGATTCCGGCACATAATTTTTTTTTTGACTGTCAATACATTGTTATATTCCCAAATGCTTGAAACTTGGACAATTTTTACAGGTCATTGAGCTATTTTTTTCCACGGCCAGTTGAAACAATAATGACTTGCTTTGGAAACGTTTAGGTGTGGGTTACATGTAGCCTGTGGCTTTGGCTAAGATTAAGGCAACGCCTAATGATGCTTTTAGACACGCTGCTTAAGTTGTTACTTGTTACTTATGCAGCAGTTTAGAGTGTGGCATATCTATTATGTGCACAATGATGAAGCGTCTTTGACAGACTCTCCTCACTCCCACTAGCCCACCCTCTCTTCCTGCCCTGATTGTGTGTGCGGGCGCACTTACACTTAATTGAATCCTGCGGGCAACTGCGCCCCAAGGCATGTGGCATGCCAAAGCGTTTAGGGCTCGCCACCCAACGACTGCAGGCAAACACTGAACCACTAGATGCCCCCAAAAACACGTTCTTTGAGTTTGCTCGGCTTACAAATATGTATAAGCTCAGTAAGACCCGATTATGTTGTCCACTAAAAATGTTTTTTTCCAACATGTAAGTCTCCTGTATAACGAATATATAAGCATTGTCTTGCTTTTATTTTATTTAAAACACTATTATTTTACATATTGGATTTAAATGTACTAACCAGTCACCTCAATGATTGTTTAAAAACCGTTTAACAATATACAAGTATGCTTCACACTTATTTTTTTGATCAACGATATCATATACGTATGTCTGGTATTAAATACTTTAGGAGACCCTATTATATTTGTTCATAAAGAATTCGGAATGTAAAATGAATAATTATCATAAATATGTATTATTATATATTATTATATTAAAAATCTATTCAGTTATCCTAACAGTTATTGAAAAGTTCTAATTTTCGCCTGTGAACGTTGCTTACTTCACAGTTTTTACTGTACATAGGTGAATATACAAGTATGTACGAGTACGTTTGTGTGTGAGTGTTTTAGTATTTTGCTCATATCATGCCGGCAGCGAGCGGAGCATCGTGCGCACTTCTAATTCAATTAGCAAGTTCAGCGCCAAAGCAGCAAATGCCTCGTTAAACACGCTGTGTTTTTTTGTGACCCCCCACTACTGCCCCACGCTTTTCCTGTCTTGTGTGCTTCGTTTTGTCATCCTGCTTAAGTCCACTTCACTTGTGTGCGCGTTGTTCATTTTTTTTTTATGTTGGTTGGTTCGTTCATTCGTTTCTTTTTCAACATGTTTTATTACATTTTTGCGCTAACTGGCGCCATTTTTATGCAAACGGAAGTTGCCACACACACACACACCCCCATTCACACTCCTCACACTTAGTGCGGCAGTCTATGTTTGCATAATGAGCAAAATTGTATAAATTGCCAAGCAGCGTGTGCGTTGCCTTCGCCCTTTTCCGCTGTGCCATCCCTTTTGATTTGTTTGGTTTCTCATTTAATAGGAGAGATAATGCACAAATTCTTTTACACCCGAACACACACAGCGACTGGCCAATGGCCTCTATGGCCACTATGTATGTATGTGCACTTGTGAGCTCGTGTGTGTATGTGTGTGTGTGCGTGGTAAAATGTTTGGGATAATTATGAGCTATGTAAATAATGTTAGAGCTGGAAAATCTCCACATAGCGTTTCGCCTTTTTTTTTTTTTTTTTTTTTTTATCCGTCTACTCATATTTTAACAATTTTGTGCGCTGACCAGCGTCAATTTCCACACCATTGTAAGTTTTTCTTTAAAATATAATTTTGTGGTAAAGTAGCTATAAAGGGTCGTTTGTCCCTAATACATCGAACTTTAAATTAAAATTGCGGTAATTTTATAAAAGCATCAGGTTTAAGGCTTTTACAAAATCTGGAAAATAGCTATACTAGC